GGGTCCGATGCTGCTACCATGAGACTAACTGTTGTCCCCAGCAGGAGCCAGACCAGATCTAAACAATGTACTCAATGATACACTGCAGTGACTTACTTGACACAGATCTTCTCTGGTTTCTGTGGGCTCAGGGGAGAAATGAAACCTCATGCCCACAGAGCAGCAGAGAGCTGGATTACAGCTGGACTGCAGGCACTGTGTGCCAGTCAGTGTGCTCACCAGCACTTCTTCAGTTTTTGGCTCTAACTGGAAACTTGGGCTTCTCATGCCTAGATGGTAATGCTGGGCTCTCTGAGATACACCCATTTATCTGTATAAAATGGGAAGGTGGAAACAAAAGATGCTTCATGATACCTGAGTGATTTTTTCTGTTTGATCTGATTAAACATGTTAGAATATGCTACAAGCCAAAAATGGCCTTTTCAAACACATTCAATTTCTTTGAGTCCACTGGGTTTACAAGAATAAATAAAACCTCTCTTATTGCTTCATAATATCAATAATACCCCTGAAATCATTCTGCACTTAATGAGCAATTTAAAAGCATTAAATGCTGTGAACAATTTTCTGGGTATTATTGTGCTTCTGTTTATAAATGTCTAATTATATAGGTCAGACTTGCTTGTAGCCTGTTACCTTTGGTAGCCAACTGCAGACTCAACACAGTGAAAAACAATTCCTTTATAAACCTCTCCCAGAAACAACAGCAAGACCAGAGTACCCATACAACTCTCTAGGTTTTTGCTTTGCCAGCAGCACACGGCCCCCATTCGTGTCCCCACTGCCCCGTCCCTGTGCACGGCAGCCCCTCCGCATGCAGGTAATGAGGAAGGCAGAGCTGTGCTGGAGAGGGGAACACCACACGCCTTGGCAAAGGTTTCCCATAAAGATCTGTCCTCTAGCTGTGGATGCAAACTCAAGCTGGTCGTGCACACAACTCCAGCATGCCGAGCCCACTACCCCTCGGCACAGCCAAATGTTTTAGCAGCTGCCCTTTTGTCCTGTTTCTTAAATAAACAAAGAACAGATACAAATTAATGACCTAAATTTATGGCAAAACACACTGCCTTCCCAGAGCAAATAGCCTTAAAAGAACAGATGTTAAAATAGCATTTTGTACTCAGAGAGAGAAAACGTAAAAATGGAAAAGCTCAGGATGTGTAGAAAAGAGAAGCTAAAGCATCTAATTGTGCCACAGTGCCTCCCGCTACACCACAAACCCTCTAACCTTCTGATGGTGCCTTGCACAGAATAATTATCCTCCCTAGGGCATTCCCCATCCCTTCTTGCCTCCTCTTATAATCCCAGTAAACTTTCTCCTTTTATTCTTTTATATTCCTTTTGGAGATGAAAAGAGCAAAATGATCATTTTGCCAGCACATTAAACAGCGACTGGCAATCCGGTGCTGTAATCCTCAACGTAATTTAGCCTGGAAGAATTGTGCTCCTGCAATGCACCATCTCAACAAACCATTCCTTTGAATTACCTCTTTGTTTTACCCCAAAGGGTGTATCCATCATGCAGGAGAGATTATTTCTCACTAATTTTTTTGCTGAGACTTATCTTGCCAACGCCTATATTTAAACATTGTTAATGATATCCATGCACCAAAAAAAAAAAAAAAAAGTAATTAAGATGGATAGAGGCTTTGCAGAGTGGGTAGTTATTTTGTTTGGGTTTTTTTTTTTTTTTCTTTTTTATTTTTTTCACAAAAGCAGGAGGAGACACAATCATGCACAGGAGGTGAACGTGCCTTTCGGGCAGCAAGCAGTCTCTGCCATCCAGTCCCAGCAAAGGCAGGAGCAAGCGGCACCGGGTCACGGTGAGAGGAATTAGAAAGCATCTCTGTTTTCCTGCCCAGTAAGTGCATTCTGTTTATACTACACCACATTGTATTTCTAGTCTTACTCAACATTTTAATATACATTTTCTTGTCAGGCGTCTTGGCAATCGGGTACACGACTTGCAAGATGGACTGAGAATTCCACAGGTGGACTGATTAGTGGGTGGCATTTCTGAGCTCCAGCAAGCTGTTAGCATTATGTCTGTTTGCTTTAGGTACAGATGTGAAATGATTTGACAGTCAATCTCAAAGTGTGTGTGTGAGTACTTGGGCTTTTTTATGCTTTTTTTCCCCCCTTCTTGGTATGTCAAACTCTTCTTATAATACAATCCTCATCCGTCTGGTTGTCCATTGAAAAAGCATCCCCCCCGTACCCCCCTCCTGTAGCCAATCTGGATGAGTCATGCATTATTCAGGAGATATAATTTGTAAGTGTCAGAAGTGGCTTTGGTTTTTTTTCCTGTTCGCTCATTTGAGGACCACAGCTGTCGCGACCAAGAGTCCTTGCCGGGCACAAGGGTTATCCCACCGCAAAGGCAAATTGTTTCCTTTGGGTAACTTGTCCGAATGCAAGTTCCCTTAACAAAGCTGTAGTCGTAAGCAAATGGTGTTTGACAAGTGGAATTTTCTGTTGACTTGCTCATTTCATTTCCTTCTTTTGGCAGAAACACTTGGAACTTGATTTTCTTGCAGTTACTATGAGCCCAGAATAATAACTCCTAAATCAACACTGAGGAGGTGGAAAGGTACAACAACACAAACACTCAGTAACAGTCAGGACAGCGACATGGAAATATGAGTTGACATGCAGAATAACCACAAGTGGTGCATAATTTATTGATTGCACCTTGTCATGGGAATGATGAGCTCTCAGCTAGAGAAATTATATTTTATATATTTCACAACTTTGGGGAAAAATATAAATATTATATATACAAACTGCATATACACTAACTAATGGATAGAGCAAGATTCCTATTTCCAGTTAGTAAAAAATTATGTGCATCATAAGGCAATGTTTTCTGGAGCTGGGTAAGCCCAGGAGAGGGGATGCAGGAGGGCGGTGAAGGAGGATACAGTTCTGTAGCATTACTTGGGTGTTCAGGTGGACATGGTAAAGTTAGAACCACTCCAGTCTTAAAATTTCCCTGATGCTGGAAACCAGCTGTATTGTACTGTAAACATTAAGTTTAAAATTTCTTTAGATTTCAGTACAGTATTTCAGTTGTGAAGTATTATATACATGAACTTGTAAGAAAACTGCAGTATGAACCTGTGTGTGTACTACCCTGGAAAAGCAAGGTAAAAGGTCTGAGAAGTGTCTATTTCTTATCAACTTTCAAGCTTTCAACCAGGTAGGTACTCAAGCCTTCCTGGCTAGGTGCAACCCAACAGCTCCTTTCTCCTCTCCACATTTCCACATTCTATTTGTTTTCAGCACCAGGAGAGCTGCTTTGCTCCCAGACTGGGGCTGCTCCCCTTTCAAAGCTGTTGCTGTTTGCTCGTTTTACTCACTGGATAAGCAGGGCACCAACTGAAGCAGACTGTTCCCTGTCTCTGGCAATCACACAGCCAGAAGAGGAGGCACAGACGCAGCACTGTTTGCTGAAGGATGGTGGCTCAGTCTCAGGGTGGGCAGTCCACAAGCACACACATGAAGACCAGCGGCTGCTCCACCAGCAGTACCAACTCGACTGAATAGTTGAAACCCACAAATAAATGAGAAATCCAAGTGTTCACCCCACATAGGTTTCTTCCAACTGAAAAATCAGCTTCCACTATTTAAAAGAAATTGATTTTTCCTCTTTTTACATTGGAAAAAACTGTAAGTGCTTTGATTTCTGCTGATTACCTACTACAGCACTTGAGTTACAACCCTGGAGTCAAAGCTTTCTCCAAGTAGAAAAGCTGTTTCTCCAAGTGCTTCTTTTTCAGTGCTATGAAGAAACATGTCAGAGGAGACATGGCAATGCACTCCAAATGAGAAGCAGGGGCTCAGCTCAGTACTTGCTGGTATCAGCAACAGATTTGTCTATATCACCTTCTGCAGCTAGGAAAGTTGCTGCCGTGCATTTGCCATTTAAGTTGTGAGCTGGTTTTGTGCTGCTTAAGGAGCAGCTTAAGTTGGAATAAAAGCAGCTTCATGGGAAGAAAGCAGTAACAAAGCCTTGGTTACCACAAAATCACAGCAGAAAGGTGCTCTTCAGTGTAGCTAAAACGAAAGAGCCTTCAGCAGAAAGCTGATGGTCCTGCTCTAGAGAACAGCAGCTGCTGCCTGGGTGGCATGCACTTTGGTTTAAATGTGCTCAGGGTCCACACAGACTATGACACACGTTTTGCTTTATTTTCTCCCTTCAGACCCAGAAATATGTTTATCACCCTGCTCCAGACAGTATATATCTCACAATTTCCCATGATTTACAATTAAATCTTGTCTCACAAGTGGAAATAATTTCTGAACTGTTTATAATGCGAATGTGATGGAGAGCTATGACTAAATATCTCGTTTATTATTTTGCATTACTCTTCTGACTTTTTATGAGGTCTCTCTATGTTAAAAATAGAGAGCGCTTCTGTTAAACACATATTTCGGGTGACCTTCTCAGAATAAGGAATTGCCAGGCTGAGTGCACCCAGATGTGAATCACAATGAGCGTGCAGAGGGCTGCAAGAATAAGCAAAGGCCAGTGTGCAGATGCCGCTGAGGGCTGCAGGGAGGGCAGCAGGGTGGGAGGACACAGCTCCCCCCTCCGCGGCCGCTCCGGAGGCACCCGACGAGCAGCCAGCAGCAGCTGACTCACCTCGGCGGCTGCCAGGGGTCTCTCTGGCAGAGATAAATTCCCTGTGCCTTTAACCGGGTCTGCCTTCCTTAAAGCAGAATTACTGAGTTGCTGGTAGGGACGTGCATTGAGTGGGTCCCCTGGAAGGCGGGTAGAAGGCAGCAGGGCTTTGTTAAATGCCCAGGCTTCGCCCCGCTGAGCCCGTGGCATCCCTGGCGTGTGGCTGGAGCCCAGCTCCCTCTGCTCAGCGCAGTTGTCTCTTGCTGTGCTGCTTATTCACGCATCCCAGCTCGCTCCGTCTAGCTGCCTGGGTGCCGATGCCAGGAAGCTGAAACACCACAGGCTCTGCAAGCCCACCCAGACCATAGGCTCCAAAGTGCATACTGCTGCCTCTTCCTCTGAAATTAATATCTCAGCTCACTAAATTAAAGCAAGCAGGGTTTCACCCAGGCATGTTGTGATCACACCTCCAACTTGCAATATAGATTTACCATGTAAACTGCTAAGCAAGGTACAGTGCTCTCCCAGCAGAAGAAGACAATATCTGCCTGCAAGGAAAAGGGTGGGAGAGCCAGGGTGCAGAGCCCTTCTCCAAACAGCTCTAGGGCACCTGTCCACACCAGCACAGGAGACCCGGTACACAGAGAGGAGGCTGCATGAAGTAAGATGTTTCTCACTTGGAGAGCACTAAAGTCAGAGGCACAGAACATGTTTTATAAAGAAGTCAGAAGCCATCACAGCTGAGCAAGGTGAGGCATGGAGGTTAAGCACAGAGCAGGCCACTGCCAGGGCTGAGCCCTGACTTGCAAGCCCACCACTGTAGAGGAGAATGTCCCCGTATATCCCAACAAGTGGAATATTTTAGGAATTTTGTGCATCTGCACAGAGCTCAGTGTTTTCAGGTGGGTCATTTCTTCTGCCCAGCCCCTTGCTGTGCCTCTGCCGAGTGCTCTTCAACGAACCTTTGTCTGCACCCAACGCACTGCTGAGGCTGGTGGGTTTTTATTCTTTGCTTTTAAATCAGTAGACTTGTTACCATCTTTTAAAAGTGTGAATAGCTGCAACAGAAGCCATCAATTAGCACAAGCAAACAGGGCCAAAGTCCTTCCTTCCTCCTCCCCCACAGCATATTGTGAGGAGAGCTGTGCTCTTCTCCTTGGGAGGCTGCTGGAGAGGCTCTGAAGTTGAGCGGTCCCAGTGCCGCCTTTGCATCTGCTCTAGGACGGACAGTACGCTCCGAGTGAGGGATGCAGCATGGGCTTTCGGCACTGGCACTGCGACAGCGGGAGCGAGACCAGCTCAACAGCAGCAGCAAAGGAAGGCAATTTTTTTCCCCTCTTTCTCTTCCAGAGAGCCTTCCAGGGCTGAGGGAGGTTGCCAGAGGTTGCCTGGGTTTTTTCAGTGCCATTCCCCCACTCCCAGTATTCAAGAAGCTATGGGGGGAAGCCCCTGCAGCAGCTTTGCTTAATTACTCTGATCTATGGAGAGGCTAGAAAAGCTTCTCTGCTGAATAGGTTGCAAACCAGACCGTGCGTGCCAGAAGATTTCTGTTGATTAGATAATGCAGAGTATTAATTAAAATATAGATTATATGCAGGGACTTTACCATAAGTTTGCTGCCATTTGGTCTGGGCATGTACATTTCTTGCCACATTGCTTTTTCTCCCAGAAAAGTGGGCTCATGGAGTGAGCCTGGCTCCTAACACGGTTCCCATCCAGAAAGGAGGAGGCTGATTGCATTCTTGGTTGTGAGTGAGAGTGCTATTCTGTACCAGCCTGGTGAAGGATGCAAAGAATTACTGTAACATCGACCAAGCCCCACAGAAATGCATAGCTTGTGGGTGAGCTCCACCCCGCCTGCCTGGCCCCTCAGCTGGTGCCACCATGCCACAATCAGACGGGTCCCCAGCCAAACCAGACATGGGAAGAGCAGTCAAGTGGCCACTGATTTGAGTGCCAGCATATACTTGGCACGGGCTGCCCCGAGTCCCTTTTCAAGTCACACCTAATGCAACCTCCAGGGCAGGAGGGTTATTCCAGCCACTGTTTACTTAGTGTTTGCTGGGGCCCTGGGATTCGCTTATCCAGCTCCCTTGGGCCACATTTGGAGTGGTTCTTCCCAAGTGCAGAAGGACATCTGGGATGCAGTAACTACTGAAAAAAATGTAATTTTTCAGATCACAGGGCAGATCAATGACCTGTCTCACCTGCTGCTTCTGCTGACAGCCACAGGTCCCTGAGAGCAATTCCATTTAGGGCATTTTTGGGAAATATGTGGCTCACAGGGGACATTTTTTCCCAAGGTTTAGTTGGTTTACTTACTAAAGCATGATTTATAGCTTATTATCTATATAAATACATAATTTTTCTAGATTCTGTAACCTTTATATGCTCTTCCAAGAACAGGGACCTTGTGGCACAGTGGTATATTACCTGTGCTTGGTAAAAATTTTCTAGTGCTTATGTGTCAGTAAATAGAAATTACAGTCTCATAGAGAGTGGACAGAAGCACTGGCTTATCTCTGCTGTGCTATTCACTGCCTTATATACCTCTAATGTGCCCCTCTCCCTTATCCTATTTCTAAATTAAACAGTCATTCTGTTTTTTACATCTTTCATTATATATAGAGGTCTTTCCATATGTCTAACATTTGTTTGAGTCTCAATACATCAGACCATGTAACATGCTGATTCACAGAAATCTCACATTCTGTAATGACCCAGCCTTTGAAATCTGCCTGCATTAAAAAAAAATCTGGATCAGATTTTGACTTATCAAATTTTATCTGACCACCTCTTAATCAGAGATTGCTAGGATTGCTTTCAAGTAAGATTTGACCTCAAGCTTTCTCATTTGATTCAAACTCAAGTTTATTAAAACCAGCAGCTTTGTTCAGCTTTTTAAAAGGAAGATAAACACGGATGTGTTTGCAACTTGCAAAAGTCTTGCCATTTCCCTTGATCATAGCTCATTTAAAAGCAGGCAAACTGGCCACTGCCCCTTCCAAAATATCACCTTCATATCCAAGAGCTGCTTTACCTTCAGATGTTTCCAAAGCTGCTTCTGCCTCGCAGCCCTCACACTTCGCAGTGCAAAGTAGTTGCCTTGTGGAGTTACAAGAGCTCTTGGTGGCCACTCGCTGGAAAGCGTGAGAGATGCCGAAGTGGGCAGCTGTGGTGTCCCTGATGGTACTGGGTCCACTAACTCCATGTCCAGTGTGGTTGCAGGTAAGGCATTTCTAGTCCCATGCACAAACAGCTTTCTGGAAAACTGGCCATGCAAAATGGCATCTGTCTGGCTGGGTGTTTGCACCTGGAGGTAGTCAAAAGCCATCTGGACCTGGTTCTGGTCAGACTGGTTTGGGGAGCCCTGCTTGAGCAGGAGGTTGGACCAGCTGAACTCCAGAGCCCCCTTCCAACCTCAACCCTCCAGCGACATCTGGCACTGTGGTAACACATCAGCCTTGCCTCCTTGGCTGGTCACAGCAACTTAATCATCAACCAGCGCTATGGAGCCATGGGTGCTGCAGAGCCAGCGTGAGTCTGCAGCACAGGTGCCCTGCAGGGAGCAGAGCTGTGGCCTGGGTCCTGCTGTGAGCTCAAGCTCTGCCCCAGCTGGGGCACCTCCAGCCCTTCAGGATTTCCTGCAGGTCAGCACATCTGGGCCAGAAACAACACATCTGTCACACACTCAGCTGAAAATCAACTCTTGTTGAACCTGACGCATTTCAGAGTTACACACAGGTGAACAAGGTGAGCTGCTGTAAGAGTAGCTTTGCCTGGGTGCACACATAATGTAGTGCCGTGGTCAGACATTGATCGTACTGGGGCCACAGATGCATTTCAGTGAGACATTCCTGCTGACGATACTGAGTGTCCCCATCCCATTCAGGGTTTTGGAGTTGTAGAGGGCACAGGCCACTCCCATCTTTTTCATCGTGCAATTCATTGAAAAATGTTACATCTCACTACCTTTGCTTGTAACATTAACTGTGAGGGGTTGTTCCTTCCCTGCCCTGAGGTCCCTGCACATCCATCACCCTCTGTTTGTTCCCTGTGACCCCAGTGTTCAGATCTGCACATGACATAAACTATCCAAACCTAGGAGGTTTCCAATGTGCTAATCTTCCAGCCACTCTACACTGCAACCTACCTTGACTTCCATGCTGCTTTGTTGTAAAACCTGCCTTGGATCATTCCATCACTGAGACCCTCTACCTGTTGGCACTTTTTACATTTCACACATCTCTGGATTTATTTCCTGCTTGTCTTGGCCCAACATCCTACTCCTACCAATTATTCCAATCTTCCTCACACACCAGTTCTCCAGCCCCACCGTAGAAACCCAGTTGCTCTTTTAGAAAAAAGAATTCTCTATTAACTGTAACAAATTGCTTTTGCTTCTACTGGCAGCAGGTTGCCACAGTCACTGGCTTAGGTTCATCTTTATGTTCAGGCAACTGATTTGTAAGGTATTGAAAGGCTTTGATCTCTTTTCTGGGGGACTGATCATTGAGCTTTAACACAAAGCTGTGGTTCAGCACCACCCCTTTACTGTTTTTAAACAGAGCTAGGACTAGAGACAGGGCGGTCCAATGCTTGGGACACCAAGAGGCAACGCAAGGGATTGTGCTGCAATCTCTTTTCTGGCACTGGCTTCCTGCAAGGCTTGAAATGATCACTTGATCTCTTTGGCTCTGAGTGACCTAGCAAGGGCTCGCCAGCACAATTCTATCCCCCAAACACAGTTAAAGCCCAGCTACAGCAGCAGGCAACGGCTTTTTCTCGGACATCCTTAAAAAACACCCTGCTTCCCAAGTGTAATGATCTAACCCAAGGGAGGAATGTTATATCCCTCTAAATGCAGCCCCCATTATGCTGCGATCAGCCGAGGTACCATGACAAGGGACACAAACTGTTTCAAACCTTTCCTGCTGCTGTGGCTTGCCAGGTTTGCATGGAGAAGTTTTGCTGGCGTAGCCTGGGCCAATGCATCTCCGAACCTTATGTACGGGGGACAATAGGCAATCCAGGCCTCACAGACTATTTAAGAATAAACTCCAGACTGTGAGCTGCTCAGACATCTTGGTTGTCGACTGCATATAGGTGCCATCCTAAAACTGTGAAACTGAATACCCTTAATTTAAAAATTCATGCCCAGATCTGTGCTTTGCCCTTCATCCTTGCATTTACAGAAGGCTAAATTGAGATCCCAGATTTTACATCCAAACGCCGAAATGTTCACAATTCAGGCTCCTGCGAAGGCTTACAGACAAGCACATTTTAGAACTGCATCGTGTAAACTGTTTATGTGCTGAAAGAAAGCCAGGGATTTTGCTAATGACAAAGAAATTGTTCTCTCCTCTGATAGCTGAAAGAATTCCTCTAATGACAATAAACCCCCTCTTTTGCAAATTTGCTTTGGGTAGATGGCAAGATTAAAGAACAACCAGCCCAGCTATGATTTTTCAGATTGCATAAGTACCTTAAAAAGATGTTCATTATCTAAAGTGACGCCTCTTCCCTAATTGCAATGCCACTATTATATGAGATTAATTTTTTTTTTTTTCAAACCCTCATAGACAGTAAAACCATGTTTTAGCCTCAGGAGTGAGCCTTGCTTGGAGAGGTAGTGCTTGCTAATGGAGATGGGGGCAGGTGTGGGTCCCCCCCGACGGCCGCCTGCGCTGTAATGCGAGGACCGCTCTGCTCCTGTCCTCACCTCACCCCGTCACATCCAATCTGCTGCCCCAAATCGCAAATGGGAATAAAAAGAAGTGCAAAACCCTCGACTGGGAGGTGGTAGCAGAAAAAGCTGAGGCTGACACTGAAAACCAACGTCTCTAACAACTTGCACACACACCAAGAAATATTTGTTTGTTTGCTTCGACTCCTGCTCTTCCTGCTCATTCAGCCCCTGGTATGGTGCCAGGGCCTGGCTCCATGTCCCATCCCGGTGGGACAGGGCACCCCGCCGGAGGGGAGCAGCCGCGGCTCCCCGGCACTGCGATAGGGGCTGGGAAAAACTGGGAGCTTTGCCGTCCCCGTGAGGAGCCAGGCACAAGGGAGACTGACAGCATCCCTGCCCAGCCGCCGTGGTGGGCAGGGCAGCAGCCTGCCTGCACCGAGCCTTTTCTTCCTGTAGGGATAAAGGTGGAAACAAAGCCTCTTTCATGCCCGGGTGCATCAGGCGGAATTACTCCCTGGGCCAAAAGGGCACCCATCACATCGCTGCGAGCAGGGCGCCCGCAGCAGCCCGGGGCCGCTCCCATCTCCGCGGGGCAACGCTCAGCACAGGCGGAGTTTGCACCGAGCCCCGAGAGCGTTTGTGCCTGCGCTTACCAAGGCTCCAGGCTGCCACCACCGTCAGCAAATCGGCTCTTTGGTACCCCACAACTCACCCACGTTTGCAAGTGTCCTCCGTACAAAAGGGGCTTTAGAAAGAGACTGTAATCCCCTCCTATCAGCTTTCAGAGAATAGGTGTTATTGGGGCAATAAATTATTAAGGTTTCTGTTTCTCTTTGAAATACCAAAGTATAACATATGCATCCATACATACACTTGAAATTGCTGGGAACTCTGTAAACCTTGTCATTTTAATCCTGTTAGATGGTTTATATTTAATTGGTTGCTAGTGAGAGATGAAAATTTCACAGATTTCCTAAAGGAATGAATATTGTTAATCAGCTCATTTAGCAAGGGAAAAGGATACACGTCCGCTCTCTAAACTAGCATTTCACAGCGCTGCACAGATTCCAGTTACTGCAGGAGTCAGCTACCCCTCAAAAGAAAAAAAAAGTTGAAAATTAATCCAAAGCTCAATCAGTGACATGATTGTATTCCCATTACATTCCACTTAAATGCATATGTTTACAATACCCTTTAATAATAATAATTATTAAACATAGTAAAATACTTCCAAACTTGTCTCAAAGCATCGTTGTACTTCTAGTGGAAAAAAAATTATCTGAAGCCCTGTCAATATGCCACTTCCTCCTCCCCCATCTTTTAACAGAAGCAGCCTCCAGTGAAATAATCCAAGCTGTGTTCAAGAAGTTGGCAAGTGGGTCCAATTAAATGTGGTTTTAGTGTATTCTGGCATTTGCATATCTAGTTTGCCAAGAAGTAATGTTTCAGAAAAAAAAAACCCACACCATAAAAAAACACACAAAAAACTCCTGCGTTGGTCCAGACAGAGAGTGGATGATGTGATGCATCAATGAACTTTGTCCCATGAATCACACTGGTTTAAATGAATAAATAAATAAATAATTTTTGTCTCATCTATTGCCCCTTTTTGGCTAACAGGCTTTACAATAATCTGAGTGTCCTGTAAAAGAAAACACACAGAGGGAATATTAGAAAATTAATGCAGCAGAAGAAAAACCAGCTTTAATATTTAGTGAGTCATTAAAAAACTTAAATCACAATGACCTTTATTTAACGGAAATATTTAATGCCTTAGCGGAGCCGTTCTCCAGATAAACAGTGATTAAATAAAGCAGTCCATCAAAACAGCGCCTGTTCTCCAGGATGCAGAACTGAGAAGTCAATCGTCATTTTTGAACGCTCGCTCACTGCTACTGTGAGCGGCGCCTCATTTTTTGTGGCTCCGTGTCCTCCCCTCACGAGAATCTGAGGGGATTCTGCAATCACCTGCAATCACCTCCCTGGTACCCCAGCCCCTCTTTTTCCCTCTGCCCGTGGGTTATGTGCAGACCCTTGGGCGTGGGAGCTCTAATGACCCAGTGCCCCCAAGCCACACCTTTGCCATCATTGTGGGATGCCATCGAGAGGCCACAGGTGCAATCCCTCACCTTATTCATCACTACAACCCAGAGAAAAACCTCAGCAGAGGAAGGATATTTGGAAAACAAAAAACCCCACCCCAAACCCCTCGCAAACCCTAATTCTCCACAAGGCTAAGCATAAAATGATGTTTTATGCGTACTGGCCATTCCTTTCACTTATTTATTCCATAGCCAGGACAACCTTGCTACAAAGCAAGGAGAGTTAATTAATAAAACGAGGCAGCGTGGGGTTATATGGAATCTTTAAAGCCTTTAGCAGTTTGCCAGTCCATTAGCGGGGCTGCATTCTCCGTAAACTCCCTGCTCCAATATGTGCAGCAGAGCAATTAATTTCTTTTGGACTCAGTCTATGGCACCAAGCTGCTTTTTTTTTTTTTTTCCATCTTTATCCAAACAAACTATTAAATAATCAACAAATAAGAATATTTAACCCAAAATAATGAGAGAAACGATCACTCGCCTAAAAACTATAAATTAAAGCCATCCAGTCACAAAAGAAAGTTGAGTCATCCATTAGGCAACAAAGGAGAAGGAAAAAATAGATCTCACTCGGATGTTTTTGTGGCATTGGTTGGCTCATAAATGTGACCAAGCCGAGGCCTCAGGAGGATGGACCGCTGGAGACTGAAATTGCTCCAAGACCATCGTCAGGCAAGAGTTTCCAAAATATTAGAATATGCCCCAAAAAACAAGTAAACAAAAAGATAAGGGCCACTGTGACCCTCACTCTGACCAAAGTGTAGGGTAGGACCTATTGTTTGGAGCTGGCTGTGGATGGGGAGGCTTCTTCCAGGAGCAGCACACAGCCCGGGGAAACGCATTGTGCGGCTGTGATACAGCAAAGCCCAGCTGCACTGAGGGGTCAGGCCACCCCGCACTGGTGCCACAGCGTCCTTCCCCCTCACCAAAACGCTGGGGAGGGGGTGATGAAGGGACCTCCCTGTGTTGCTGCCCCCCATGGGGCCAGGAGTGTTTCCCTCTCCTTCCCCGCAAGGAGAGCAGCAGAGCCATGAACCTGGCACCAGCCTCTGTACTAACTTGCCTGGCACTGCTGACCTCGCTGCCCTGTGTGGCTGCTGCAAACTCAGGCAGCAGCACTTTGTAAGGAACTGCAATGGAAAGTAAACCCCAATTTTAGGAGCAAACTCCCCTCCCTGTTCCCTCCTTCTCCTCACCACCCCTCACCAGTCATGTACAAGAGCTGTGTTTAAAAAGGGGAGGGGGGGGCGATTTTGCAGTGATTTCCAACCCCCCAGCTGTATTTCTCAGAGTAGTTTTCTTGTGGATGCTGTGCTAACAAGATGCTTGACAGGCACCAGGCTGCGTGCTCACAGACATGCTGCCGACTGCCGAAATTCACAGCCCGCTTCCACACGGCACAACGGGAGAAAGCCTCCTTCACGGCATGTGCCCGGGATGGCAAAATGGTCTCCCAGGGAAATTGAGGCTGGGGATATGGAAAGGAAATGGGGCAGTTGCAGGAGTATGCACATAACCTGGAAAAATGCTACAGCTGAAGTCATTAGCAACTTCCTTATTTTTCTAAATAAATAGCATAGACAGAAACCAGGGGTTGCAGCAAGTGTCCACTGAAGACCATCAAGTACCTCAGAAGGATCTGTGATGGAACAAACACTTCTATAATTAGCTTAATTTCTGCCCAGAACACAGGGATGAACTTCTATTTAACCATACTCCTCTGGTGTTCTCCAGAGGACTTGAAAATTGTTTTCTCTTAGCAACAAATAACTCTGGGAGAATGCGTTCGAATCGGATCCGCCGACAGCAGAAAGGCGTGGAGCCAAGCCTAACATCAAGCATCAAACATGGTGCACAAAGGGGCTGGAGAGGTAACACAGAAGATGTGATGAAAACACTCTGACATCAAACCTTGCTCCAGCCTCAGGAAAAACATGGCTTTCACTGATGACTTTCATTCTCCTTTTTTTTTTTTTTCCCCATCCTTCTTCAATATGTTCAGTGGCTTTGAATTAGCAACATCATTTTACCAAGAAACATTGGCCACAGACTTCCCACTCCCAATGCCTCATTCAAGCAGGAGAAAGCCAGGGACCTCTGCTCCAGGGATGGGGTCTTGCACTGCCCCAACAATGACTTCAAGTGTGGGCTTCAAAACCATGATTTGACATCTGTAAAGTTGTGAGGAGGAGATTTACTTTTCTGTATTCAAAATTAAAAAAAAGAGAAGGCTTTGAGATGAATTTAAAATGTTTCATCCTCCAGGACTGCACCAGGAATGAGGCTCCCAACCTTGCCGTGGTATATTGCTTCCTTCCTAAGAGCCAGAATAAAAAAAAAAAGGAAAAAAACTTCATAATGCTTTTGTCTTTAATAAGAATCAAAGTGGTGTAGAAAACAGTCTTTATGCCTCCCATTCCCATAGCCTGATTAATGTCCTCTGTCTTTCAACATGTGCTTTCCCTTAAACCTCATTTTTCTGTAATTTCCTTCATTCTTTTAACAATGTGCTTATCCCTCTTCTAAAAAAAAAAAAAAAAAAAAAAAAAAGCCACTCTTTACAGATGTTGCCTCTCTTCTTACCACAGTCCAAAGCACAGGCTCATCCTCCTTCTTCTAAATAAAAGGAGATGAGGTTGTTTCAAAAGGTGAGTATCAATATTACATTTTATGGTAAATGGATGTTTTTGTAAATAATTTTTTCCTGCCCCAGACATATTCCTACCCTGTTCTGGAAGTAACAATAATGATCCAAATTAGCTGGGTATTTCCAAAAGCGAAATTTTGCCTGCCATCAATGCAGGCAGTTTGGGACTGAAAGGATCTGGCTCAGCTATGAACAACTGTAGGACCTATCAAAGGCTCTTGATAAAAAAATCCTAAAACACTACATGGTCGTGCTTTCATGTGGGGGAGCCCTGAATCTGAAGAGCATCAACCTAAAATAGAAGCTAACATTAGGACAAGTGCTAGTCATCTACTCACTGTCTTGAAGGTGACTCATACGTAGCTCACAGTCAGGTAGGTCCCAAATTTTAACACCTCCGCTCACCCTCAGGCTCACATTCCATGAAGAAGGGTTGGGAGACCAGACCCTCATGTTTGGCATACTTCTTTTTAATTAGCATTGGAGTACTGCACCCAGGTATCCAACTCCAAACCATCCAGCAGCATTCCTAGTTCAGAGTACAACAATTTAAAATCAGGCGACACGATCAAGTACTTCTGAGAATTGCACATCCATGAGCCCAGGGCAGGCAGGGAGTGCTCCCATCTCCATTCTCTGCTGCGAAAGCGTGAGCACAGTTGCTTTAATGCCTTGTTTGAATCCGCGTTATCCAGCGTCTTCCCAGAAGCAACGCTTCAGGCATTTTCGATCCCTCTGGCAGAAGCGTGCCCACAAACCTGATGGCGTTTAGGGATGAAGCACATTTGCCACAAGATGCTGACCCCTGGCCGGCTCGTCTGGCTCGGCCCCACAAACCACCCCGTGTCTGCCTCATGCCCCCACCCCGACAAAACACCCTCAGGCTGCAAGGTGAACACGGCTCTGCTGTATTTTCTCTGCTCAGCAGGAATCCCACCTTTTCTTTCATGCTGCAAACTTCATGTTATAGATTAGAGAGAATAATACAGCACATTAAAATTAGCAGTCTTAAAGAAAAAAAAAAAGAAAAAAGCTTGATCTACTCTCATTTTTATCTACTGGCTACGGGCATAAAAGGTTTCTTCACTGAGATTTTAAAATGCATGGGTTTCTTGATCCAAATTTAGCCTAAGAATAACAAATTTCCTGAGTGAAATGCTGCTATATACCATTTTGCTATATACAAAACTTTTTTTTAAAGTTTTGTTTTTGTGAGACTTTTCCAGTAATTAATAAAAAATAAAACAGTTTATCACAATAAGTTGAACTTCAGGTTCATCTTGTGCTTCAGGAGCATTTCCTTTTAAGTATTGAGTAGCTTGAGTCTTGAGAAAACCTTGGAAATATGTTGCAATGAGTTATCCAACACTTGCAGAGATATGTTGGTCTGTCTGTCAACAGGGAGCCCGGAGTTCCTGTGTTCATTAAATTTATCATCATAATTAATACAGAGACGAACAACTCTTCATTTCTCCGAAAATTAAGAATTGCCTAGTTAGTCTCAGCTTGTTAAACCACAGATTTTTCTTAAAAATCACTCAGTCATTTGAAAATAATGAAACACTGGTATTTATAGTGTTTTCAAGCTGTCATGTATTTAAGCCTGAAAATCATTTATGAACAGAAATCATATTTTGGATACACGGTGCCAGTCAAACTACTTTAAAAAAGAGAGAATAAGCCCCAGAAAATTAAGACCTGGTAGCTAAAGCCTATGAAGACAGAATATGTTTCATTAAGACTTTAACTATATTTTTTTATCTTGGTATGAATTTCCAAAATTATTTCAACATGAATCCTCACTAAGTGTGAATATATGGCAAATGTAGTTGAAAATAAATTTTATCTTGTATGATAAACCTCTATCAGTTTCAAGGAGTTTTATTTATAGATAAAGTACATTTTTAAAATGGCAAAAAAAATTGTAAAATGTACATTGGGAACACATCCAAAAGTTTTAAAAAATAGCTTTAATGCTAAAATTGAAGACTATTTGACAAAAGCAGCAAATACAGCATGGAGACTAGTTTTTATTTTCTTAATAGATATAAATAAGACTTAACAAAACTGTATTTTGGGAAGGTTATGAAAGAAATATTTAAATCCCTATCTAGATTTACATCCAGATACAGTGTATACCATGCCGTGGAGCTGTTTTGAGACAGTTAAGCCTTTTAATATACCTCCTGTAGTACTGAGGCAGTAACATATTGCTTTACCAGTTAAATCCTTTCGGAAATCATGATGTACATGTAACTTGCTCTTTAAATATTTTACTTATTTAAAGCTGGGTTTCATGCACTAGGTTGTTATGGCTGGGGATGTGCTGTGTAAATCCCTATCTGGCATGTTCTGGACGTGGCATAAAAAAATCCTTCTTGGTGCTCAGATTAGCACTGATAACTGCAGGAATCACAAGCAAGGTTGCACAAGACCCTGTTGTGTTTGCTGCTGCATATGAACACTAAACACGTCTTCTAAAGATCTTTAAGGAATTACTCAGGCTATGATTTTGATGCACACCTAAATAAAAATTAGCAAGTTATTTTTATCTACTTCCTCACATGCACACACATATGTTCATACACAATATGCATTTTAAAGCACAACACTGAGTTTAAGAATAGTGCACATTAAAATGTCCTAATGTATTTTGATGTATTTTGCATTCAAACATTTACTTTTTTCCTGCAATCCCTAAAATACTCAATCTCACATTAATTTCAGTTCCAAGGCTTGACTGCATACCTTCCTTCTCCTTTGCATCCCCAAGCAAAACCTTGCTAAATCCAGGCTGTAATATCTCAAAAAGAAAAGAAAATTTGGCCCCCGGGTAACAGCTGCGGAACGGGAGAGGCAGAAGTCTGTCCCAGTGAGGGCACAGTTTTACACAGGAGTGAGGACTTGCATCCACCTGCCACAAATAGTTGATGTTAAGGAGTTATCAAGGATGAAAACTGTGTCCATTCTGCAGAAAGACAACGGTGTATTAGTGGAGCAACAGTCTTCTAAGGAAATATGCCTGAAAGCAAGAAACTGAATTAAAGCAAAATGAACCTGAGGATAATAAGCAGACAACTTAACTAGTTAGTCAGAAAAATTGACTAACCAAAGAAGGTCCAGTGTAAGAGAAATACTCCAGCTCAAACATTGATTATTTGTGAAAACAAGAAATACGTTTGGTTGATGTTGTTTTTTTGGTTTTTTGTGGGTTTTTTTTTTTGTTTGGTTGGTTTTTGGGTTTTTTTTTTTTGTTTTTTGTTTTTTTTTTTTTTGCAAACATCTCTGTTACTGGAAACCTCTGCAGCATTTGCCATACCTGCCAGAGTTCAGCCTGCAGCACCTTTGGTTTTCCTGCTGCCTGGCTGTGCAGAAGTCTCACCCCTCTCCTGCTCCAGCAGCGCTGCGTAAATTGCCGATTATTTGCACCAAGAGCATTTCACTTCGACAATTGATTGAAAGTAATACTTCCTTTTTAGCCTACCAGAACAAAATTGATAACCTTTCCAAAAAGGACCATTTCTCTTTGGTAAGACCCATTCACAGGTTTAGCTGAATTTTATCATGCTAGCAGGAGCGCTGACTGTAGATTTCAAGAAGCAGGACTCTTTTTCTGTCTGAAACCTTTCCATCTTCAGTTCAAGAATACTCATACAAATAGAGGACCAACTCCTCTCTTACCATCTGGAAAATATTTTTTACTACCAAAATCACTATATTTAATGACACAATTAAAATCTAAATGAAGAGTTACAAAATTTTCACAGGACTCCTGAAGTAGAATATTTTGGAAGACCCCAAAAGATTTGTGCATCATTTCTTCCTCCCTTTAAAAATATAAGACAATTCTGTTAAAATTCACATTTACTGTGCCAGTAAGAAAAACGTAATACTTTGGTTAGATTTCTTTAATAAAAGCCCCTACTCTGGATATATTTCAGTTTGGAAATCACATGGACAAAGAGTGTTAATAATGTATAAATTTGAGACTCTGGCTACGGATAATTATATGACAACATTTTAGCATCAGTTTTCTAATTTTGGGGTATTTTTTTGCAAGATTGATATGTATTTTATCTTCATTCTGAAGGAAATTGAATTGCTTCAAAGTGAGGGGAGGGAGCAGGTAGAAATTTTCTCTTCTTCCAAGTTTGCCTCAGCTATAAATTGGTGCAGCATCGCTGATCATAAAACAGTGGGCTCAGAGTTTCATTTTTGAGTAGGCTAGAAAAATGTATTTTGAAGTTGCTTATGCTTATTAGGAATCAATTAAAAAGTTAGAGCATTTTATTATTGCAGATTCAGCTGGGGGAGGCGGAAGGCATTCAGTCCACTGCCAAATCACTTACTCCTTTATCTGTAGAAGGAAAGCAGAGTTATGCTGTTGCAGGGAGAGAGAACAGCAGTGCTCTGTCCGAGCAGGTGAGCCAGCATGGAGCAAAAGGGAATCTGTAGCTTTGCTAATTAATTTTAAAATTTTATTGAGGCTTCCAACAAGGCAATGCATGTTCTGAGGGAATTCACTGGCTTCATTTAGGGTCAACAGAAGTACATGCGATTGTTTGGCGCTCATTTTTACCCTAAGGCAGGAGAGCAGGAAAAACAATGAGGAGCCCTTCCCTTCCTTGGCCAGAAAGTTTTGTTTTAAACTCCTACCAAGTTTTTCAAATTGCACCTAATACACACAGATCTCAGTAGTAAGATGGTCTGTAGAATGCTGTGCCTGGTTTAAAAGTCTTTGTCCCACCAAACCCCTAAGCTTCAGTTTAGAGAAAATGCTCGTAACTAAAAGAATATTAAGATGCTATGGGCAGTGATTTAAAAAAAACAGCCAAATTATATATTTAGTATTTTCCCTGTGAGTCAGTCTAGAAATACTCACAGTTAAAAAGTGGTGACTATCACCGGTCAGAGAAAGTTGTCTAAACCCATGAAGTTTAGTGCGTAGCTTGTATTCCCACGGTTTGCCTTCAACCATCACGGCAACACGAACGGTAAGGATTTTGTTACCACAGTATCCTCAAGCCAAATAAACTGCTTATTCATGCTTCATGATCTAGGGACTGTATTTAAAAAAAAAAAAAAAAAGAAGAAGAAGAAAGAAGAAAAAAGAAAAATGCTACAGCTATTTAGGTGAGTTTGTACAATGCTGTGAAGAGAAGCAATACATGGGAGTATGTTTTACCTTTTCACTGAAGAAACACTTTAATGGCCACAAGTGTGTGCTACACATGTACAAACCATCTCTAGATAAACCACAAAGTATAAAGAATATTTTCAATTATTTTATCACTAACAGCTAAGTTTTTCCATTCCCTTCTGAAGAAGGACTCCTTCTAAGTCGTGTTTTATTTGGGAATCTACAATCCTTGAAAATCTTAATGTTGGAGAACAAATGGTGAATCTGCCTGGAGCCACAGCCAAAGCTCATCAGTTGCACAGATTTCAGCACTGCAATATTAGCCGTCTTTCAGTCTTGACGATACTTAAACCCATCTTAACTACACATAATATTCTACCTTCTGAAAGCCTGCAGAAAAGGTCTGCTGCTAGAAAACACAGAATCCTATGCGACCGGAGATGCTGACTGACAGAAGAAAATGTTTTCAAAATACCTCTAATAACACAAAAAGCCCACACTGCAAACACAGCAAATGGCGATTGAAAATTATTATAAAGAATAAAACAGTGAAAAAGATAATTTTGGCTACATACAAATTACCGCCGATGTAGGAAGATAAGCAGAATAGCTTAGGCATCGAGATTCACTTGGTCACTGCACAACATGAGTGGTACCTAGGCAGACAGTAAGTGTAATGTAATGAAATGTTTAAATCAAGGTATTTTTCCCTCCATCAAATTGGCCATGCTGTCTCTGTTCCAGCCTTCTAATTTAGCTCTACTTTCGTATTCCCACTGGGCTCCACAGTGCTGGTCTTGTTCCTAGGATAGAGCAGCCTCAAACAAGAATTCTGGGTACATCCTGCAACAAGCATCAAAATCAGGACTTTTTCAAAGATTTAGCTAAGCTTGTATTTTTTTTTATTTTTAGAGAAACATTTAGTTTGTAAGAGAAATACCCAAAAAATTTAGGATTATTTCCATTTTCCTCTGTAGTCCAGACAGCTTTGATGTGCTACCAGTAGTTTGGGCATTTTGACTGCCTGCTGTAACACTGACAGCCAGTCAGTACCCGGCCAATGCTTCAGATTAAGTTGTTGCCCTCTGCTCTACTGTTCTCATAGAGACTGATATATCAAGAGAATGAGCCCAAGAGAGCTCCTTGGAATGAAATTAAGACTACAAAGGGAATTGTGTGCCTGCACATATATTTGCATGGCAGCAAAATTTCTGGAATTCAATAGATTGCTTCTGTAAAAGTCTTTGGGGAAGTAAAAAAAAAAAAAAATTATTAAAAAATACCTCTACAGAATGATTAAGAGCTGTACACAAAGAAATGTTTTGAAAACACAAGCATTTAATTTTTTTAAATGTTAAGTGAGATGTAAATATGCATGGTAGCAACAAAGTGCCCAAAAGCATACTGAAAACATATTCCATACACAGTTAGCAATAGAAGTCTGTACAAAAGTAATAAAGTTACACAATATAAAAAATACTCCATAACTATAATTTAAAAGAGGGAAAAAAGACAAGGGAATTGATTTCTCAGTTCATATAATTTATTGCAGTTAGCACACAGTTTAAAAATTCACCAACACACCAATAGTACAAAACTAAACAGCATTATAAGTTATTCCCTCCTCAGGAAAATAAAACATACTATGATTGTCAAAGCTAGATGTCAGTCTAAGTTTTAGAACAAAAGAAGAATGTGAAACTAAGGAAAGGAAAAAAGCAATCACTCACGAGGACCACAAAAAAATCCAAGAGAAAGTCCATTTTCCTCAGACACTGATTGTCTTTTCTAACTTAAGAAAAGAATGTAGTTTTAAACCTAGAAACTATTCAAGTAACTAAAGATAACGCTCCAAGGCCATTTTCACAGCTTTTTTTTTTTTGTTTTAAATGCCATTACAGCCAAATTAACACACATTTGACCAAATATTTCCAAAACAGTCCAGCAATACACAATGGAGTTTTCCATTCAGTATCTTAAGCACAAAAATAGGCTATGTTTACAGTAGTTAAGGCGATCAAATTTTAAACAAAAGCAGAGAAAAAAAAAAAGAAAAAAAAAAGGAAAAAACAGCAAACGTTTTCCATGCTACTCCCATAGACCTTATTTGTAAGTGCAAGACAGGAAAACAAACACTGTGCAAAATGCTTTTGACCTGCGTGTTGGTCATTAAAACCACACGTCAGGCTGCAGTCTCTGCTGCTTGGATACGCATAGTCCTTCCCCGGCCCCCCCGGCCCCCCCTGTCACTCAGGCCTGCCCAGGCCTTTCAGCCCGGGGCTTTTTTTGCTTTTTTTTTTCAGTCCACAGCCTCGTCTCAACGGGGGGCAAAAAAAAAGAACGACCTATTGTGGTGGAGTGGTGCAGCAGGAATCCTACAAATGCTCATCTGGGGAAATGGATGCACCTCAGTTGGAGCTGGCGTGGGGTCTGTGCAATTAGAAGGGGTCTGGGGTTAGTAAATGCACACCGCACATGCAAATCTCGAAGCCTGGTTGTAAACATTCAATTTTTTTTCTCCTTGTTAACGTAGCTAAATCGGCAACTCGTAGCTTAAGTTCTTCTCAACTTAAAGACAGTGGGAAAGTAAATTTAAATTAGATAAAATAAAAACAGTGCATTTCTCATCTTTATAACACTGGCATGTTCAACGGTGTCAGGTTTTTTTCCTAAGGAAATTAAATAATTTTCAACTCACTCGTTAAAGTTATACAATGCAAACAAAGACAAAAATATACTGAAAATCATGCATTTCTGTAGCGTTAATATTTACTTTTCAAGACTCAACTAAGAGCATCAACACAACCTGCCAAGTTCTTTGATACCTCCCCCCGCCCATGTAATCAATTACAGTATACAATAACAGTAATTCACATTTTTTAAACACACAGTTCATCACTGCTGAAGCTGCAATATCCTTTTTCATCCCAAGCAAACCTTCACATAAGACAGAGTCCCAGTGATCCCAGTGTACTCTCAGGGTTTTTGTTTTATGTTTTTGTGTTGGTTTTTTTGTTTTTTTTTTTTCCAGTGGGAACTGTCAGAAATCCAGAAGTTGCCATAATAAGTTTTAAGTCAACCGCTTGTTTAAAAATAGATAATCCAGCATTTCAGAAATTTTCCATTTGGGTCTAAAAGCATTCAGGTTTCCAACAGCTAGAAAGGACTCATGCAATTATAGAAATGTAAAGGAACTGACAAAATTGGGAGAGGATTTCTACATTCAGATTTTAAGAGGGAAAAAGACCAAGAGTTTAAAAGAACGCAGTGTTTTGGGGAGAATAAAGCCACGTCCAAATTTTTTGAATTGGAGATTCCTTAGAAGTAAAGTATCCGCTGGCTTCTATTCCGAAAAGGGGAAAAAATACGCTCCACAATTAGTTACTTTGTCGGATTACCTCTACAATTCATTTTTATTGGAGTGCTAAATTAGTGAAATATTCATGCTGCCTTAAAGTGCAAAAACAAGCTAATAGCCAAACTTTCAGTTCAAGGAAACAAGATTGCTTTTAGACTGTACCACAACTATATAGATTTATATATATATTATTTATATATATAAAAATTTTATTTCCAAAGTTCTTGTGAGCTATCTTCTAAGGTCCAGTCTCTGACAGTAGGTAAGCTCAGTGCTTCACTTTTGACAGACAATGAGTTCACCAACTCACAGTGAAACTTCCGAATGTGTCTGTAAAGGTCTCCGGACTGTGTGAACCTGCGTTCACACCACTTACAAGCATGAGGCTTCTCCCGCGTGTGAACCACTGCGTGGCGGCTCAGGTTGTGGGAGTACTGGAAGCTCTTCCCACACTGGGTGCAAGTGTAGGGCTTTTCACCTGAATGAGTCCTCTCATGACGTTTCAAGGTGTACATGCAAGAAAAAGTCTTACCACACAACGAGCAGGTCGGGACATTGACATCGGTAGCAGGCTTGCTGCGGATCCCGTCCTGCTCTCGAAAGTGCGTGCTTAAATGAATTTGCAGGATGTGGGGGCTAGGAAAAACCTTGTTGCAGAGAGGACACATGAAAATTTGGCCAGCAGGGCTAAGTATGTTTGACACGTAAGGGAGCAAGCTGCTGTCCATGTTTCCTTCCACCTGGACTCTCTCATTCTCTGGAGTTATCATTTCATCATCGCTTGCCTTGTCCTCTCTATCTAGCTCCCTCAAGACCGAATCTTCCCTCATCGGAGCCAGGTGGGCTGGCTCATACTGTACCCTGTTATTAGTGCTCACACTTTCTTTCACAGTGCTATGTTCCATATCATAGTCATTAGTGCCAACATCACTCTCATCACAGGAAGCCTCTTTTTCCACCTTCACCTGAACCAGGCTGTTTCTAAGCATGTCCTGCGAAGAGAAATAAGAACTGTTCAAATTTTCAACTCCTGAAAGGCTGGACTTGACAGACAGGTCCAGCACGCAGTCAACATCTGCTGAATCCCTCACAGAGGTGACAGACCTCTGGGACAAAGACTCTGTTGAGCTGCAGGGGCTGGCTACTGTTTTTCCAGCTGCTGCTGTGTGCGTCTCTGCCTCTCCGCCAGTCTGGGGAATGCCTGCTGAGTCTGAGGGCAATCTCATCCACATGTTCCCAGGCTCAGCCGCCAAGTCCCTTTTGCTAGGCAGGATGTTCAATTTTTCATCTTCTCCGTCATCTTCATCGCTGGGCAAGTCTCCTGGCATGTGGCTGCTGCCGTCGGAGAGGCTCTCCACTTTGTCTGAACAACTTGAGGCGTCTTCCTCCTTTTTTGTACTGTCTGCCTCCGTGGTTGCTTTCTCTTTCAGCTTCTTTTTGCAGACTTTGACAATGTCATACATGTGGAGATAACTGGCAGCTGCTAGCACGTCTTCAATGGGCAAGTCTTTGAACTGGAGCTTTCCTTCGTACATGAATTCAAGCAGGAGAGCGAAAGCTGGGGCTGTAACAATGTCGCTGTTCAGATGAACAATGTCCCTTTTGTCCAGCTGGTCCTTGTAAAAGAGGTGGAAATACATGCTGCATGAAGCCAGTACAGCTCTGTGTGCTCGGAACTGGGCATCTCCTACCAGAACAGTGCAATCACAAAGAAAACCCTGATGTCTCTGCTCACTCAGACACTGTAGCAAATGTCTACTGTGGTCAGGAAACTCCATACTGTCTTCATAACCTATAAGCAACAAAATTTTCAAAAATTAAATGTAGGTCAGAATCACAGAACTTATAAAATCCAAGTAATTGTACTCTAAAAACCTTGTATTTATATTACCAAAATTCTGGTACTGACACCCCGCAAAGATTATTTAACACAAATGTACGATGGCAACTCTTTCCCCGACTGACCACTACAGTTATGATTTCCCTTCAGTGGTAAATAAGCCGGTCTAGTGAGCACATAGGCAGATCTGCAATTTTTTTTTGAAGTATCAATGCTGTTCATAAAATCTGTTCAACAGTTTGGTTTTCTTTTTTTTTAGAGGACTTCCTCCAGATTGAGTCCCTAGGAGGGCAGACCCCCCCCCGCCCCAGAAAGAGAAAAAAAATTTCAAACACTAAGTTTGAGAGATCACAGAAGCAGCAGAAAAAAAACGTACAAGATCATCTACCTTCTTTTTAAAGTCAAATTGTAGTAAGAGGAGTGGTTCTCACATGAGGAAATATTAGTATACCCAAATCTGTATACCCAAGTCTAACATTCATAAACTACAAAAATTTATATAAATTTATATCAACAACAAAAATTGACATTTTTACAAATTTAGTTCATGTGGCTTTCTTCTCGTAGTAAGTACAGGTTTTTTAAGGTTTTAAACCTTTTCCACACTGTACAATAGAACATGAACATTTTTTGCCAACATGCAGAATATACAAAAGAAAGCTACCAACCAAAACGCCAACAAGCACCACTTCCCCAGTGGAGAAGGACAGAAATTTCCCTCCCCTCCCACACCAGGCAGAGTTTGCAGTACTGAGATTAAAAAAAAAAAAAAAAAAAAAAAAGTCATTCAACCATTCAACATGAATGTGTGTCCACATTTAGAAAGAGTATCCCAAGTACTGTTCTTACCCAAGTGTTTTTTATTTGCCTTCCTTGATGATAAAGACAAAACAAACTTAAAAAAGAAGTAAAAAAGGCAAAAATCAAATGGAAAGTAAAATCTTTTAAAAAACCTATGTTAATCTATTCTTCTGTGATTGATAGCAATGGTCTCCCAAACCATCTAAGCAGATCGTGACTCTCCAGGCTGGCAGATATTATTGAAAAAGTCTCATCCCTTGCAAACCAAGATGTAATAAAACTTACAGTACAATCCCTACTATATTCTGTAAAATACCATTGCTACAGTAAAGCATGAAGATTTACAATACAATCACTTTAAGTGCCCCACAGCCAACATCAATCCTAATCCTTAAGAGGGCTAAAAATAAAGATTGGAGGGCAGCTCACAAGGTAGCTGTGATCAAATTAGGAGGCTGAAAGGACAGAGAGGGACGAAGAAGGAAGCTTATAAACATCTGATCCAGCTGACTGTGGCCATATGGCAGCTGCTGCCCAGATAAAGAGATTAAGAATAGAGGAGTGCGATTACAGCTGTCTGGCCAATTCAGGCAGCTCAAATCTACAAGTTCTAAATTAGTCGCAAATACAAAAACTCCTTCAAATAATTATTGTTACACTAAATAAAAGATTTCAAATGCTACATGCAAGGAAGAAAAGAAGAAACCAGTCAAGCCATTCTCCCGGGTACAAAAGTTTTTAAACACATAACTGATTTCTATCTTTCAGAAGCACTACAGCTGTATGCTACTACATTTCTGAGCTGCTGGATATTTAACCATGTAACGAAAGACTTCCCTACAAACACATTTTAGTCAGGAAGGTCCTTTTGTAAAAATGCACAGTCTTGTATATTTAATTCATACCCCAGCAAAGTAATTTAAAAGATGCAAGACAAGAACATAAAGCAAAACTCTCTTAAGGCTTGCCACTAAATCCATTGCAGCTTTGGTTCTCAGAAATTCAGGATGAACTTGCTCTCTCCTTCTTCCAAACCAAGATATTCCCACAATATGCATTAAAGTTAATGCTAACAATGTGCCCAAGAACTGATACTCTCCAACTGTAGTTCAAACCTTTTGACTAAGTCCACTTATCTATTTAATACTCAATTTCATATATTACCTCTAAACTTGGTTAGAAAAGTAATGTGATTTTTTTTTCCAAAATTCAATAAACAACACACCAAAACAGAAATATGCTGTATCTAATCTATTGCTACTCCTACCTTTAGTACACATAAACCTGATTAAGTCCTTTCCTCTGAGTCTTGCTGGCTCCAGGTCTGTTAGATCGGTGGAAAAAAAGCAGACTAGGAGAGACAGATGCAAAGTGGAGATGATGTTAGAGAGGAATGAGATACCTTCTCCACACACAGATCTGCACACACTAACTCCCTGTCTGTGTGTTAGAATAAAAGGCTGAGGGATGGCAGGCTGTCAGCTGCTCTGACATCATGTTCAGATGGAAATGCTACCTCCAGCTGTGCTCCTTTTAATGCCATATGCTACTCCTCTACACTCCTGCCACCAGCTTTTTCTTAGGAGAACTTTTCTCTTCTGTTAGTATAAACAAAATACTTCAAAGTCTCTTTTTTTCAAACTTTCTAACAGGGAGGGAAAAAAAAAAAAAAAAAGAAAATCCTAAACATATGGGGCTTTACTGTATGTGCAGCATAGCAACACTTCTGCCTTAACTTAGAGGTCCGCTTTACGTGCTGACAGAGTACCCCAGCCACGGGGTTACCCCAGAAAGCCACACCGGCTCGGTTTCACCGAGCCCAGGGGTTAATTTAAAAGCAGAAATTAACCGGACCTATTTACCACCTCACGGCTCCCCGCTTCGCCGCCGGTCCTTTCAGTTCCAGCATTTAAGGCAGCGCAAGCGACACCGAGCACCAACTCCGGCTCCTTTCGAGCCGCCGAGCAGCTCCCCTGGCCGGGCACTACTGCGAGCGCTCGGTTCGGCTCCCGCACCGCTCTGTTCCCGCGGGGGCCGGGGCTGCCCGGCTATTTAACGCGGCGGCGCCGGGACGCGGGTCCCCGGCCCCGCGGGCTCCGAGCGGGCCCCCCCGCCCGGGCGGGAGCCCCGAGCCGCGCCGGCCCCCCCGAGACACTCACGCGTGTACCCAGCGGGGCGGGTCACCTGCCCGCTGCCGGGCGGGGACAGCCCGCCGCCCCCGGCACGGCACGGCACGGGACAGGCCAGGCGGGGAAGCGGCGGCGGCGCGCAGCAAGTTCCCGGCGGGCCCGGCCCCTCCTGCCCCGACGGGCGGCGGCAACTTTTGGCCGGGGCTGCGTGTGTCCCCCCCGGCCAGACGCTCCCGTCCGGGGCCCCGGTCCCGCGGGCAGCGCCGACCCCGCCCGGGGCCGGGCCGTGGCCGGGAGCGCTGTCAGCCGCCCCGCGGGGAAGGAAGCAGCTGCCCGGCGCGCAGGAAAAGCCGCCCCCGGGTCGCGGCGGCAACAAAAGAAAAGTAACCGGGAGCGTCGCCGGGGCGGCCGGTCCCACCGCCCGGGGAGCGCTGCCCCCGCCCCTCCGCCCATCCCCGGCCGGACCCGCCGCCAACTCCGCCCGCCCCGCGGGGCCGCAGCGGCCCCGGCCCCGGCGCGGCGGGTGTGTGGGGATGGGGGCAGCGGGACTCACACTGCGCGGCGGCCCGAAGTCCCCGCGCTCCCGCCGCCGCCCGCCGGCTCCTCTTCGCTCACTTGCCGCTCCGGGATCGCGCCTCGCCCCCCGCTCGCCCCCCGCGCCCGCTGGCCGCCGCCCCCCCCCCCGGGCTCCCCCCTGCCGGCGGCTGAGGAGCGAGCGGGGCAGCCGGCGGAGCGAAGCGGGCCCCGCGCTCAGCGGCTCCCCATGGCACCGGCGGGGCGCGGGGGCGGGCGGGGGCCGGGGGCGGGCGGGGGCGCGGGGCGCTCGTGCGGCGGCGGCGGCGGCACAGCCGGGCCCGGCTGCGGCAGACAGATGTTCGCCCCCTCCCTCCCCGCTCCCCACTTCGGACTCCGCTCCCTGACTGACAGCGCGGCCCGCCCGCGCCGCCGCCGCCGCCAACCGCCGCCGCCAACCGCCGCTGACTGACGGGCCGCGGCGGCCGCCGATTGGAGCAGGGCGGCCCGGGAAGGCCGGCGGCGCCGCCAATCGCGGCGCGCGGACGGACGGGGGGGCGTGACCCGGCGGCGAGCCGAGGCGGAAGGAGGCGGGGCCGCGCGGGGCCGGGGCGGGGCGAGCGGGGCGGGGCGGGGCGCTGGCGGCGGCGCGGGGCATGGTGGGAGCGCGGCAGGTGCGGCGCGGCCCGGGCGGGAGCGTGGGAGCCGCGTCGGGTGCGCTCCGCTGCCCCGGCTGCTCCTGCCCTCCCGCTCCCTCGGCTGCTCCTGCCGTCCTGCCCGGCCGCCGTGGAGAGCGTGCCATAAAGCGCTGAGACCATGCAGTCGTTCCGGAGCAGGAGCATTAGTGGTTTATTGTGGATGGTTATGTGTGCGCTGGGTATGTATGTATGTATGTATGTGCGGTGCGTATTGCAGTGTTATCTCAAGACCCAAGAGGCGTCAGCTGCCCCTACTAAGAACACACAGTCGACAAGGATAAGGAAACTTTCTGCCGAAATTCACCAAGGGATCAGTATCTAAGAGAAACTCAAGCTGCTGATGCTCAGTAACTTTACAGAAGTTGAATGCAGGAACATCTGGATTAGCATAAATCACAAGGATGCTAATGGATGCTGCTGCAAGATGTACAAAAATAGAGTAGCTTTGCCCTGCCACATTTATGATTGGATAATTAGAAATAAGCACCAGTGGGTAATTAGGTGATTCATATCATACCATTGTGTAAAACTCCTAAAGCAAAACCTCAGGGGTGTGCCCAGTTTGGCTGGGGCACTTTAGATGCAAGAATAAATATTTATGTTTGTAATTCTGTGGTTTGTGTCTTGATTGGCACCAGCCAGCTGTGAATTCATAACGGGAGTGCAAGTGCTTTGCTTTCTCTCTTCCAAGGAAGTGCTCTGCCCTGAGCTCTCACCTCAGGTGTTGAATTCCTGTGGGTAATTTCTGTGCTTCCCACCGTGGCAGGGTGGGTTTCGAGGAGCAGTGCCAGCAGGTTGGCATTGTTTGTGATGTGTGTGTGCCCAGGTCTTCACTGGGCAGGCTGGTGCCTGAGGGGAAGCGAGCTCTCCAGACCTCATCATGGTTCACAGGCAGATTGAGGTCAGCGGCTTAGGAGAACGCCACGGCTTAATGGTGGGTTAGGGTAGGGCAGTGGAGGCCAGGTTTGAAGGGCTAAGGTGTTCCTTAGCAAAGGACTAATCCGAGGAGATTTGGCTATTTCCCCATCTCTCCTTCATTGTCAGGTAAAGAGGTAATATAGGGAAGTATTTTAAAGAAAACAAGGATCACCAACAGAGACTTGGAGTTTAAAGAGAAAGAACTCCATTATGTATTAACCAAAATTGTTTGAGTAGCTGTAAAAGCTGAAAACCATGTACTTCATCTCTTCAGGAATATCAAACTGTTATAAAGAAACAGACTGAATTCTAGTTGTGTCTAATTGCTTTGACAGCACTGCTATGTATGTAACAGAGCAGCTAGCATCTAGGTGTCCATATGCTTCAATCATTATGTACATACATGAAAATGTAAAATATATATTGCAAATGTAAAAATATATAAAAGAAAACACTTTTCACTCCGTCCTTCAGTGAACTAATTGCTCACACTTGGTGTGGAATTTTTTAATTATTAATTTTCAGTTTCTCTTAGATACTGATACAATTCCATTATTAAGAGTTTGGGTATTTTTTCCATTGGTACCCTCTTTCATATTTCATTATAGCTGGAACTTGATAGGATTTTGTCCTTGTCTTCAGGATACAGCAGCTAAGATGCTGATTCTTCATCTTTCCTGATTGTTTCCTCAGTGCTAATAATCACTTCATTGGAGACAAATCAGTACTGTATTCCCTGCTGCCTGTCATTTCTTGAACATCTTCCCTATAGCTACTAAACTGATTTTTCTTTTGATTGCAAAAGTAAGTGTAGAAAATACTTTAACAGGAAATACTTTGGAAAATAGTTTTAAAGTTTAGCTTGTTTAGGTTTATAATGTTAAATATACAAATAACTTACAGTTATGTATATTTGAACTGTCAGTGGCTGTGCCTGAAATGATTACATTAACTCTGTTGTGCTAGATCTCTACACTTCATGCTGCCTCTTCCTTCCTCAAGTAAGTCATCTCACCAGCTGCTTCGGGTTGGTTAGTAAGACCTCAGTTGTGAATATTTACTTATACAAGTACAGCTTTACTGAGGGAGGCAATTTAGGCATTTTTGTAATACCAAACTCTTTGGAAAATGAATCTGCTCAATGTGAAAAATATCAAAGAATTTATTTGCTAAAGAGGACATTTAGCAAATGGACTTTCTCAGATCCTTACAGGGCCTTAAATTTAAAAATAGACATTAAATAAAATTTAATTTAACTTAATTACTGTTTGTACTTTCTGTTAATTTATTATTTTCTCCTCATATACAAGAACTTGCCTTCTTATGTCTTAATGTGTACTGAGAAAAAATTTACTGTCCCTCATCTAGTCTTGCAATGCTGACTCCTAATTAAATCAGGATACATTCTATTTTCCATTCTGTCATTTGGTTATATGACATCCAGCAAATTGCTTTGTCTGTTTTGTGTAGACTGGTTCAACCTGGGCTGCAGGTTATTTCTTACTACAGTTATATTTAAGAGTGTGATCTGCAATTGCCATTTATACAGCTGTTATAATAAAACACGTTTTTTTACTATTTCTAAATAGGAGATGAAGAGGAACAGAGGAAAAGTGAGTGTAGGTAACACCTTAAGATTAAAAATCTTTTTTGGCAGTGAGTAAGGCTTTATTGATTTAAACCTGGAACTGTTGACATTTGTCTGGGATTTTTTTAATGTGAAAGGAACTCTAATTTTTTTAAAGTACTTAGAGAGGTTTAAAGACTTAGCATTATGATAAATATAGAAACAAGATGATAGAGTGTGAATTAAGAAAGAAAACCTTCAGAGGGAAAACCCATAAATACCCAATAGTCTAGTTGATCTCTGTAAGAAAATATAAGACATGCATTCCATTGGAAGGGAATGGTGAAGCCTTGTTGTAAAGGGATGTAAACATCTGGCAGTACACCTGGTCTCTACACATATTTATAAATCACCTCAGGCATCCCAAGATACTTTAAAGAACACACACACAAGAAAATTGAACTAAGAACATTCGTAAGCCAAGGAAAATAAAAATTACCTCAATATAGCATGGAAAGAAATGAGTCTCATTTACTTCACAAACGCAGTTTGGAAAGACACGATGCAATTTTGCACTTCTTGCACCTTTTCACTTGCTGACTTTCATTTATATCCTCCAGGCAACAAGGAGGCCTGAAGGCCTTTGGCTCATAACCAAGGCTGACGTTGCAGCGTGGAGCTCCAGGAGCGCCTGCAGCTCGGGTAGAGCTTTTGCCTCTGATCCGAGAACATCGAAGTTTCCTGGCCTCTTCTCTAACACAGTTTGTGTGGTGAATCTCCCAATACTGTTTGGTGCTGCTCAAGATTCATTAATACATAGTGAGCTGCTTTGCAGATGCCAGCTTTGCCTGCTAGCCTTAAAAGCGTTTGTCACATTTGTTTGCAGAGCTTGAATGGAGTTGTGTGCTCTTGGAAACTCTTCTGAGGACAGTCCAGCAGAAGAGCCCAAGCTGACAAGGGTCAAAGTGCCTGTGTGACATCTAGGTCCAGAGCAATAGATGCTATTGCTAACAGTTATAGATGCTAACACAACAGTTATACCTGAGGAGCCAAATGAAAATCTGGTCCTTAATACTTTCTTATACCTACTGCAACACAGTTTCTGCATTTTCTTCAAATTGTAGAGTAGTGCTATAGTAATTACTAATTACATTCCATTAATTTTGTTTTCGATGGCAAAAAATGACAATGGAAACTGCTTCTCTGTCACCAAATATACCAGGTTTATGCCCTACAGGTTCATTCAAAATGTATACTGTCACTATTTTCATTCACGGGACAATGGAAAGTGGGTACCCTCTTGGTAAATTAAAACTCTCCCAGAAAGTTTTGATGAATAGGACTGAAGATAAAGAAAAAAAAAAAAAAAATCTACAGTGTTATGTATCCCAGAGGAGTGAAAATTAAGATTTGTGATCATGGCATTCCTAAGTTTTTGGGTTTTTTTTCCTTTTTTTTTTAACCGTAGTGTAACAATTGATGGCAGTCTGGTTTTCAGAAAAATTAAAAATTAAGTAGTTTTTAAGGCTTCCATCACACTTGAGGTTCAGCTGATGTCACTGTGAACAGAGTTTTCTCTCTGGGGAACCGGTGCTGAGGAAGTGCCAAGATAATATAATACAGCATTTGCATGAATTGGCTAAATGTGCATGTTATTGTGCCAGAGGCTGACTGGATCAGTAATTCTTATCTGCCCAACTATGCTGGATAAGCATCAGGATGTACTCATCTAAGAGCTTTTCTTAACATGTAGGCCAAAACCTCTTCTCTCATCTCAAGTGCTCTCACATGTAGGAGAAGGAGTGCCCTGCAGTGAGGTTTATGACCAAGGTGACTTCTAACATTCACACTACCAGCTGAGGCCAGACTCCACTGATAAATTTTCTGTATGTCCAGATGTCTTTTCCTGGAGCACAGGTTTGTCTAATTTTAAGCTACAGCTTCTGCTTCATGTGGGGATTATTAACGAGGGCAAGGATTTCTTCATAATGTCCCAA